CTTAACTACTTTTATAAACACACGCTATAATTCACAGCGATGCACACACTGAACTCAATTATCCTATCTTCAATCTATCTCCGGCTTATATACTAAAAAAGAGGGCGTCTAGCAAACGCTGGGACATTCATGAGGCTCCCCGATCCTTCTAGAAACTCCAGCGCATGCTCCCAGCGTCGCGTGACTTCCGCTGTCGTAATACATCATTATTTTTGTTACCATTATCGTCTTTAATCCATTTTTATTTTTTGTTATCGAATTTTTTTCATCACTTCCTATCACCATTATTATTTGTCATCCAGAATGTTTTTCTCCACCATTACCTGTCTTTATTTCTTTCTACCATTAATATCTGTCATCTATCACATTCTAATATTATTTATCATCGTTCTTATATCTCGTTACCGTTATTTAATTGTCATCCATCTTATTTTTGTAACCATTATTATCCGTCATTTGATATATTTCTTCGTAACCAATATTAGTCCCCCGGTGAGACAGTGATAAGTTTACAGACTTACAATGCTAAAATCTGGGATTTAATTCTCCGTAGTGGACGCAGCAGATAGCCCAATGTGGCTTTACTAAAAAAATAATAATAATAATAAAACAGACAGCACCAATATTATTTATTATTCATCATATTTTTGTCATAATTATTATTTTTCATCCATCTTATTTCTTGTCAGAGTTATGACGCATCCTCTATCATATTTCGGAAATTTGTCAGCATTATATTATCTGCCATTCATCATTATGTTTTCACCGTTATTATCTCATCCATCATACTTAATTTATTGTCATTATTGCTATCCACCATTCTTCATATTTTTTCATCATTGTTTCTTGTTACCATTATTTTCTAACTTTCATCATATTTCTCTTCATAATTATTTTGTGTTATCCAACATAATTTCTTCCATTATAATTACATTCTTTCATCAAACACCATTATTATTATTACTTGTCATCCGACATACCTTTTCAAAATTCATTATCACGTTTGCAAATAAGGGCCATTCTCATGTACAAACATTTTTTGTATTGTTAGGATATGTATTTCTATTATAAATGTATTGTTGTAATGGTCTCTGTCGTTAGACGGATTCTTTTTTGATTATTTAATCGGTAAAAATAATGCAAACTCCAGTTTACTTAATCATATTAATGATAGCAAAGGCGATTTATTTCTTTGACTGTAACGTATGTGCAAGTACATTCTTCAAGCTACAATCTAACTCACAAGTAAAACTAAACAGTTACCTACTTTCAAACTTAGAGTGCTGAACTACTAACTAATTCGCTGTGTTGCTAAATCACTCACTCTAGTTTTATGGAATATTTGTTCGCCAGATCTCACTGAAGTTAAAGGTGTACGTCAAATCTAATCATTCAGCTAATTTCTAAGGCTGCATGTCATCACTACGTCATGCCAAAAACCTCTCTAGCAACACAATATAAAATACTAAAACATAGTTCATAACACTTCTCCCTTCCTGGATTGTGAAGCCCTTGCTAATAAACAGATGAAACAGTAAGTTATACTTAATATTCTGTAATTAATGTACAATTACCAACATTAATATTCCCACATTTAACAATACAATTATTGAATCAATACTGAAATATACCAAACACAAAGTACAATCGTAATTTCGATCAACAAGGCAGTATTTCTTTCTTTACTGATTCAATTAGTGTCTAAATTGTAATGTTCATCAAACCTTTTTTGTGTTGCGTAGCTTAAAGTACGAAAACTGTTTCGCCTTTTGTCCCCTATTGTCACTTGCTGTCGTCTTGTCACTTGTGGAGTTTTTTTTGTTTTTTTATCAATTGATGGCCAAGTAAATCCACTAATGGTTATATCTTTGATAGTCTGGAAGTTGTCTTGACAGGAACCTTACGCTTTTCAGTAGGTTGATTTAACTCTGGTGAAATCTTTGATGAAGATAAACAGTTCAATATTCTCATTTTGACGGCTGAAAGGGCGAGCATGTTTGGTGGCGGGGATTCTAACCAGCGACCCTCAGATTACGAGTCGAGTACCCTAATCACCAGGCCATGCCAGGCCTAGGTTGGAAGAAACCATGCAGTTACCAAGAGCTATATATGCTATCCAAGTGACTGGCCATGCTTGTTACAAATAGGTAGAGCTGTAACCTTTATATCACCTGAACAATCGTTGAATGACACTGCTGTCGACATCCTTACACAATGCAGCGTATAAGCAATGTTCCACTCAGGGGTAAACAGATATTATCTAGTTTCGAAAACAACAAAGGTAACTTGAAACAAGATCAACATATTGGTCTTCTTGGCTATGTTTTATGTGAAATCTGCACATATTGAGAACAAATAATAAATTCAGAATATATCTAATACTTTGAGAAGATAGAAACACATGATACATTCATATATCACAACAGTACAGTTCAAGCATAGTCTTAATTGGGTGGTGAGGTTGAACTGACCTGCTATGTTCTATAGCTTGATTAGGTAGTGATATAAATGGAGTAATCCAGGACAATTCCAGTCACCAGTTGCACAGCAATAGTAGTAAGCTAAGACAGTATTAGCAGGGTGGTAAATTTATGGTCTTCCTAGCAGTCAGCAAGGGGCCTTAACTTCCAGTCACTAGTGCCATATCATGGTAGCAAAGACAGTACTAGCAGATTAACAGAGGGAACACTTGCCCCCCCCCCTCTATCAGTCACCAGGGAGCCCAAAATTCCAGTCTCCAGTGGCACAGCGCCTTAGACTCCAGGGTTGTAACGGTTTCTATCACTGTGTGGGCAGTTTTTGATTATTCGGTAAAAATAATACAAAGTCCAGCCCACTTAATGATAGCAAAAACGCTTTATTTCATCAAATGTAACATACAAGTTCTACAAGCTACAGCCTACCTGACAGATAAAACTAAACAGTCACTTACTTACAAACTCTACTTTGTTGAAAGACATATGAAAGATTTATAGTGATAAGCTGACTTAATAAATAAGTCAATGCATGTCTATCTGGCTGACTTACTCTGGTGTTTTTATAGAATTTTTTTTTTACCAAATCTCATTAAAATTCGAGACATCATGTGAAATCTAGACACCCAGGAAATTTCTAGGCCTCACGTGTCACCACTATGTCATGCCAAATATCCCTCTAGCAACCGTATAAAACATCTAAATAAAAAATTAATATATGGTTCACAATTGTATATTAAGTGAAAGATAGCCTATATGATTTGAATAGCCCATAATTCATCAAGACTGTTAGTATCTATTATGCTAAGTTTATATTAGAGTATGCATTAATTAGACAAATTTGTGTTCTTGCTCTTCTTGTGTCAGCAATTAATTCTGCATTATAAGAAAGTTGGTATTAATATTATGTAACAATCTAATAGCTCAGAACTGTAATTTTATACACTGTAAGATAATTGATAATTGTATCATATGTGATACCTTAACAGCTCAAACTCCACTTTTACAACAGAAATTGCATTAAAAGAGAGGTTAATAAATATTTGGCATGACTAACTTTTTTATCGAAACATTTATGGACTGTACCTGTCTGTTAAGTTGAATACAATGTTTCAAACTGCCATCACAGATCTTCATCAGGTTAAATATCGTAAGTTATGGGATATAATATAAGAGGAAGGCATGGCTGTAAGTAGAAGTCGAGGAGCGTGGATATTCAAAAGTTCGAAATAATAATTTGAAACAAAAATTGATTTAAACGGCGACGAAAATAGCTGTAAACAAGGGCTCCGATGTAAGAAGGTAATAATGATGTTATAAAAGATAAGTTGGTGCTTGCTTTGAACAGCAATATTGTCTTTTGCGTTCTTTGAAAATAGAAGAAGACCATATTTGATTGAATTTTTAGCTGTAGGAGTAATCGAGTAGATTTCTCAAAATGACAAGAGATTCCATATAAAATGTATGGAGCAAATCTGAATTATATGAGTTTAATTGAGTTTGAAGAATGAAAGAGACAGGACACAGTGTGAAACAAAATGAAACTATCTTTAGTTAATGCATAAAAACAATTAAAAACTAGACGAGTGCGCAAGATATGTCACCTTTACTGGAGGTAAGAAGTGCTAGATCTTTAAAAACTGTAAGAACTGTTCCAGACCAAGAAAAACATAGCATTACATACACAAAACAATAATGGTATTTTTATCATGACGAGTGCACTACCCACGTGGCTGTTGGCCACTCCCATCGTAAAATAAGTGAGGTTACATTCTAAGAGCATCACCTGACTTGCCCGTGTAAAAGATCACTGTCCACTTCTACATAGGAAGTTCAACTTCGCAAAAAACTTTCCCACGAGAAAATGCTTGCAATACAAAAAGTAAATGATGCAGGATGATAGATAACTAGAGCAAAAAGAACTTAGTGATTTATTATGATAAACATTCTGTGTTCCAACCACATAACCTGCATGTATGAAAATTTTGAAAAGTTTTTTGTCAAGTGAGATTGGGTAGGAACATGTACTATGTCTGCACACCACAATATAATGACCTTTATACATCAGAGCCCTTGTTTACAGAAGAGTTCTTCATTGTTCGCTCCTATTTTGTTTCAAATTATCATCCTACACCTTTCAGGATTCCACATTCCCCAACTATCTGTCATATCTGCCTTGTGAACATGAAAATATTTGAGATAGATAAAGATAGGGATTTTACTTGTGAAGATCTCAGTGCAAGTAAAGTATAAATACTTAAGTGTATGACAAATATGTGTAGTTGTATTGTGTAACCAGCCTGATGTTACGTCAACCAAGCTGTTATATTTTTTATGGCCTAACCTATTTCTGTAGAATATATTACTGGTTGTATGATGGGGCTAGCCAGTAGTTCTCCCACGTTTTTATTATATATACCTTTAAATTTTCATAGAGAGAGTAACTAATAATTTATTACAATAACAAGTTTAGTCATTCTGCTATGGTAGGATGATCAAATAAGTGAATGTGCAGTAATATTTGAATAATTATATTAATAATTAATGATGACTAATCCATATTGTATATTTAGGTATTTCTATACATTAACTGATGATTTTTCATAATCATATAGAATTTTAAATAATTATTTCAAAATGTGTTTTTCTTAGGAAATATGAATGGGAGAAACATGGGACTTGTGCAGCTGTTATGCCTTATTTCAACTCTCAAAAAAAATACTTTAGTATGGTACTGAAACTAAAGATTCATTATGACTTGTTTAAGTGAGTACTGTACTCGTTTAACTTCTTTAAGAAATATTTGACTATGTTTAAATGCTATTATTTCAAACGTATACATCTCTCCTATTAGTAATGGTTATAAAATGTAAAACTGAAGGTTTATGGATTCAGTTAACTTTTCTTTTGAAAAATGTAATATCTTAAAGTAAAACTGACTATTCCTAGAGCAATTGGATATGTCTGCTGAATAATATATATATATCTGTTATAGAGTAATGCTGTATTTCTCTGAGTGTCTGAGTTTATGAGAATGAGCTAAAGAGACTGGACACAATGTAAAATACAAAACGCACAATTTATATTATAACAGAACACACCCACAAACACAATGTATATTCTCTTGCTCAGAAGATGGATTGTCACTTCTATTAGATTGGAAATATTCTCTGAGGCTGAGATAATCTAGCAGACCATTTAAATTCAATGTTCCTTACTGCAAAGATAATGTCAGATTTACCCAAGATAACTAGTGTTATGCACGTGACTGGTCGTTCTCATTCAAGTATAGGTGAGGCCATAATCTCGAGACACCACCTGACCAATCGCTGAAAGACACTGCTGCTGACATTTTTGCACAACGTGCAGCATTACAGTGATTCTACGCATGGACAGAACAGGTGTGTTCTTAATAGAATGGCAAGGAACAAAGGCAGCTGTAACAAAATTAACTTAATGACTTCCTTGACCATGTATTACATGAAATTGCACATACTTAGAATATCTGATAACTTTAGAATTCTACTATATTACTAAAAGAAGGTAGAAAATGCGTGGTATGTTTATATACTACAGAACAATGGCTTAAGAAAATGTTAAAAGTTTTGATTTGTGTTATTTTTTTTTTTGTTTTTTTGCAATGAATAACACAGAAAACTGTTAGCACATGTTTATGTAAATCTATTTTTCTATTCACATGTATATATATATATAAAACTTTGTAAATGGTGTATTATACGTTTTGCATATAATTTCTGGCTTATCAAAAGATATAAAGATATGCAAGTGTTTGTGAAAATTTATCATAAAGCTCAATTTTTTTGTTTAATTTGTTGGAAGAATTGTTCTTTCTTACACATTTCGTAAATTTATATCATAAAAATGATTCAAGTTTTAAGCTGAATACATTAAATTTTGTTCTCAATGGGTGATATTAATTGGTTTTTTTTCTATTGGTTAATTTAAGAATTATAATGAGGCCTGGTTTCTTTCTAACTGCCAACAATAATATGTAATTTATTCATTTGGAAAACTAATTGATACTGAGTTCATCTTTCTATATGCCCCTGTGAGTAGGATCAGTTAGAAATCATAGGTAGCAGTCAGAGTATAAAAATTCTTAAAAACCACTTAAAAGCCATATAATCATTTTTTGTTATTATATAGTACGCAGGTATACCATGCATTTATTACCTTCTTATTAATATAAGAATTTTTTAATGTTTTGTTTAGTCTGATTCTATGAGATTTGGTACAGAAAACCTTTGAGTTACTTTCGTTTTTGTTGTTCTCTAATACTTGCTGTGCCCTCAGAGCATATTGCTGCAACTTCACACATTGTGCTAGCAGGTCGACGACAACAGTCTTTCACTGGTCAAGTAAATGATATTTCGAGTTTACGACCTTAACTATGTTATATGAGAACAACCATTGATGCGAGTAGAACTAGCTATTATGGGTAAATTTGGAATTTCCTGTTTAATAAGATTAACACAGTTCTAATCGGTCATTACAGTGAACCGATGAATGGAAAGATAGCTTGAAGGAAGAATGCTTTTGGTCGATTCACAGATAACCTGTGAGAAGAATAACATTTTTCATTACACCTGAATTATTATCTTTAATGTTGTTTAAACTAAAACCAGCCATGGTTCCAAATAACCCCTATTAAGGTTCTAACAAACCTCTGTTACGGGGTTAGTTTAAAACAGGAAGTTGTTAGGTTGAAGACATATTATCTCAACAGTACTTTATAAATTCCGTGAAATGTCATGATGTGACTGTAGCATAAGAAAGGTACATCCTTTGTATTTTTCTCTGAATTAAATGCATTACTGAAAATGAGTGGGCTTTTTTATATTGTTATTATGAAAAAAAATTAAAACTAGCCCTATTCTCCCGTAATGAAATTGGCGTGATAGTAATAGGTTACTTTACTAACTGATTCCAGGTTTCTATTAGAGACTATTTGCTAACCGATTAACTGATTATTACAATACCTATCAAAACATGACACTTATGAGTGGAAAAAAGTTGGTGGTGGGTGCGGCCAGCCAGTTGCCTTCCCTCTTGTCAGCAGTTCAAAAAGAAGAAAGAAAAGGTTGGCCTAATATTGACAGATAGCTTTGTCATAACAAAGACAGGGCAAGCAGGTTTGGTAGCAATATTTTGATTACTTGGATAGTTGGAATAATCAAAAAGAGTGAGAATCGAAACACTCACTTCGGTTAATTGATTTAATTGTAATTTTGATTAATCAATCAGTTTACATAAAACAAATCAATGTAATCGATAACTGCCTGCTCTATATCTGATTATATAGTGTGATCAGTGTTGAAAACATTTTTGATAGTTTACTGCTTTTTTACTATTTACTAACCAAAACAATAAGCAAAGTTTAAAAACATGATAATTTATTTCAAAATTTCTCTTTGTTTCTGGATCTCAGTGGTTCATTCCTTATCAAACAATGTTACAGCTGAGCAATTAATTGTTATAATCTATTACTATAAGCATCAATTAGTGCCACATAAAATAAATGTTTAATCAAAAGTACAATTAAATCAATGCCATGAAAATATCAACTAATTGAAATTGGTACGTTTCCAATCATTACTGTTTTCGATTATTATAACTATCGAAATTATATGTGAAAATAATCGAACAATTGGATGTAATCGCTTAATGAGTCTTACTATCAATCGATTATCAAATTCCCCTAATCACCCAGCTCTAAACACTGTGCATTCATTCAACCAACCCTGTTAATGAACTGTGGGAAAGGTACATACAAAAATGTAGGCCATCACCTATAAAAGTTACAGCAGTATATTTGGACATAAAGTCAGTTGGCAAAACTGCTCTAATTTAACTATGTTCATTACAGAGGCAAGTATGAGTAGGGATTGTGTAGAAAAGCATGCCTTCGGGCCAAGAAATACGTTTCAGTACTATCATAAACAAATCTGCAGTTGCGAAATTTTAATCTAGCATTATCAAAATATTAAATTATCCTACATAACACAGCAAATACAAAAGGTTTTCAGCACCTTTAAACACTTACTTTTCTAAAGTTATTTATTTTTCATCTGTTAGTTGTAAATCGATGGTAAAAATATCCATCACGAGGCCTGAACATTTCTCTTCCATTATGACCTCTTACTTACTTAAGCCCATCATTCCTTTTGGAGCTTAGGCCATTGACGCCGCCTCACCAACCTCACTGGGCTATATTCTCCGGGTGTAACCCATCTTCTTTATGTTTGCTTCAATGTTGGATGTGGAGGTGAACTTCCATAGGGTTTGTCCAATCCAGCCACATTTTCTCCTCAGGATCTCTTTCTGTACAGTGTCTTGCCTGGATTTTTCCTATAAGTCAGTGTTACTGACTCTTTGTAACCAGTAAATGTGAAGTCTTGCATATACATCAGTTTGAGAACGTCTGGACAATCATTATTTTCCTTATCGTTGTACACATTTCTAATTAAACCGGGGTACTAAACTGCATTTGCATTGAACATGTAGATTTTGGTATATGTTGTAATTTCTCTTGAATTCCATCCAGACATTATTAAAAGTGAGGAAAGCTTCTCTAAATTTACCTATCTTTGCTGTCATGTCTTTGTCAGTGCCGTCATGCTTGTTGGTTGCGCTGTTCAGTAAGGAGGAGAAGTCTGTTCCTTCAAGTGGTATTGGTTTGTTACCTCGTGTTGATTTTGAGAGCCTTTGTTTTGCCCTTATAGATGATTAGTCCAATTTGAGGTGATATATTTTTCAAGCATGTTTTTCTCCTCCATCTGGTTGTGGTTGAGTGACAGGAGAGCCAGGTCATCGGCAGAATCCAGGTGTTATAGTTGTGTCCACTGGATGTATGCTGACTCCAATACAGTGAAATAATGGGAGGTTGTTGAGCTCTTAAACAAAATGTTGAATAGAAAGTACATGACTCATCAGATTCATTTATATATCAAACGACAGCTCAGCTCACTCATTCTGATTGGTATATTTTGATACTGTAACATCTGTTTCAAAACACAAACAAAACTTTAAAGCCACTTCTTAACGTTTATTATTCACATTTACTTGAATCAAACAAGCCATATTATTAAACTTTGTGATCCATATTTTGAAATTCTTAAGTTATTCTATATATACATCCATTTCATCACCAGAGAACCCGACAAACAAGATGTATTGGAACTGTAATCATACCACAATGTTATCCTGGCAACAGTGCACCTAACAACATAGCTACCTAGGGCCTAGCTGTCAGATATATTTTTTTCTAAATCTTTAATGCCTTTGTTACACTCTTTCATGGTTAAATAATGTCTCAGGTTATCAGGTAAGCCGTTTTTTGTACTATGAAAGGCAGACATGATCGTGGCTTGAGAGGTCATTTTTAGTGTTATGATTTTTAATTACTTTTCATCAATTATTAAATAAACAGTTGAAACTGTATTGTAAAAATACTATTTTCAAACTACTGAAACCAGTAGTGAGTTTTAATAATGGCTGGAGATGGCTTGAATGGGTAATGAAGAAAAACTTTAATATAAGTTTAACATAACAGCAAATGTACAACGTTTCGACAAAGTTTTTGATTATGACAAAATCATAATCAAAATCATGTCATAATCAAAACCCTTGTCGAAACGTTGTACATTTGCTGTTATGTTAAACTTATATTAAAGTTTTTCTTCATTACCCATTCAAGCCGTCT